CAGGGACTATCAAAGGTATACTTTTACCTCTTCCCAGAATGATCACAGAACCATTTGGAGTAAAATTATGCCCACTATGTATGTACTCGAACTCTTCTACTCCCAACAATATATACATGTCTTTGACAGATGTGTATGATGGAAATAATTTGCTGTCTTACCAATAAACTTCATGATGTCTAACTGTCCTTTACAGATTTGTCATATCACATTTAGCTATCAGAGCATAAATTCCTAAATGGCTGAAGACCTAAGATGTAGTCTTAGATAATAGTAACTGGCTGTGTGATACCTTCTTCTTATATTTAAAGAAATTGTATAATATCTTCCTTTGGTCTCTTTCAGCAGTAACACAGTAAATCCTTGATATAATGGACTAACTCGAGCAAGGGGGTGTCCATTAAAGCTGAAAGTCCGTTATATAATAAAGTAGGTTTTCCGAATGCATATATTAAAAAATTGACAAATTAGTTTACCTGTTTTACTTATGTAGACAGTTTTGTGTAATTAAAATTAAGTATGTATGAAAAGTTTAATTTCACAGAAAAGTTTTCTATATGTATTACAGTAATTTAAAATTTATACTGAATAGGCTAGTAAATGCATGCATTTACCAGTCACTGGAGTAAAAAAATGCACACGGCTGGGGAGTGGCTTAGCATACGTTGTTGGCCAGCATGCCTCATGACACACAACAACAGAACTAATTACCACTCGCAATCACGTGCTAATCATGCACCAATCATTGTTTACCAGTGGTGACTCCTGGATTTAAATATGTAGACTATAGTTGTAGATATGTAATATTTATTTATATTGGCAAAATTACTACAGTGTTTTTTCCAATATATGGCCTATTTGCTAAAATGTGTTTAAAATAACAGTGAATTAATAAAAATAACCTGTTAATTTAATTACAAGCACATCTTGGTTAAGAGCATTTTAAAATTAACAGGGTGTTAATTTTCACATATGACATACGGACTGGAAATTTTGTCCGTTAATCCGAAGTCCATTAAATCAAGGCCCACAAAATCAAGGGTTTACTGTATGATTGTATTAAAACTACTGTCTATGAAATTATTTTTGTACATTACCTAATACACAAAGTGGGCACTTCATTGTCAAGAGTCTTGCTCATCTTTCATGACTCAATTCATGTAGTTTCTCTTTTTATTTTTTGATTTTTATGTTTCTAATATTTTTTAAAAATTGATGTTGAGACAGAGGAAGGGAAAGAGAGTGAGAGAAACATTGATGTGAAAGTGAAACATTGATAGGCTGCCTCCTACATGCCCCCTAATGGGGATAGAGCCAAAACTCAGGCATGTGCCCTGACAAGAAATTGCACCAGCAACTTTTGGTGCAGGGCTAGCTCCTTTTTTAAGTTTTCCTTTGCCATCCCAAATAGAGACAATCTTATCTGTCTGAACATTTACAGAAGTCATTGTTTATACTACATTTGTGAAGCTTATATACCATATTGTATAATTATTTTAATTCATGTGTTGTTTAATCTGACTATAAGATCCTAGAAGACATATTCATCTCTATTGCCCCTTATAGTGTCTTGTTCTGATGTTTAATACTTTTTTATTGAACCAGCTAAGCTAATTTTGAAAGTAATAATCACAAAAAGCTTGACATATCAAATATTGATATAACTATTCTCATTCGTAAATTTTCTTGGGGAGGGCATAGAAAATAATTTAGGTAAACTAATCAGGCATTGAGGTTTCTTAGGAATCTTAGATGCTAAAATAGTGAATTTAGGAGTATAAAGTGAACCAGAACTTTCACTTTTCCAAATCCTACTGGATAACCATATGTGTATGTGAAGTGTACAAAAGGAATGGATATTTAGAAAAAGAATGGAAGAAAAAATTTGAAGAAGAGCTATTGATATGACAATGACAAAATTTGGGTAGCTATTCTGTGAAGGCCATTTGCTAGAAGTCTCTAAATTGCCATTTTTAGCTTGAACCCTCCTTCTTAACCAATAGCTACGTATATACTTACATATTTGCAGTTTAGTTTTAATAAAATAAAATTAAAGGAATACACACAACCAGAAGAGCTGGCTGTGTTAGCTCTTAAACCTGTCTGTCAGTAATACTTGTTATTGTTAAGTATATGATTCAATTAAATATTACATTAAAAAAGATGAAAAGTGAGTAAAAATGAGTTGTTTCTATGAAAACCAACTGGATGCTTTGGAAAGTTCAATAAAAGAATTGCTAAAACCAGGCCAGTGTGGCTCAGTGGTTGAGTATCAACCCATGAACCAAGAGGTTGCTGGTTTGATTCCCCATCAGGGTACATGCCAGGGTTGCAGTCTTGATCCCCAGTGAGGGGCATGCAGGAGGCAGCCAATCTATGTTTCCCTCTCATCGATGTTACTATCTCTTTCTAAAAATCAATAAAAACATTTTTTTTAAAAAAAGAGTTGCTAAAAATGCTGTTAACTATACGTAAATCAATTAGGAAAGACTGGGGAAAGTCATAAAAATCTTTAAGGATTATACAACTACATTGCTCACAAGTGTTTAGTTTAATCCTTTTTTAAAGGTATTAAGTGAAAATTGTCCTTAAAGAAGCCAAGATTATAGGTATGTTTTATGCAAGTAAGAGGACTCCTATTTAAAAATAAATAATGGCCCTATATCACAGGAGTGATTAATAAATTTAAAGTACAAGCTTACAATGTTTAAAGTTGTGTGTATCATTTTTTATACTTAGGGCTCTCTTTTGACAATGTACCAATTAGCAACCCAAACTGCTTCAGGTAAAGAGGGTTTCTTTTAAATTTCATAAATAACTTATTTAAGAAGATCTCATAGAAGTGTCACATAAAAACTACAATGTTGTAGATAAGACACATGTATTCATTCACATTACACAATTTTATGCATGAGAAATTAATACAAAGGTTACAGCAGACTGGAAAAAAAATCAGACAAAAATCTAATCCTAACAGCAACTATTCAGTATTGCTTTGCTGAGGCTTATGAAAACATAAGCTATGTTTCTGTATCTAAAATATTTTGACAATTACAATTTGTATCAGAGTCTACTATATTACATTGCTAGTGAACATGAGAAAAACTAATCTTATGCTCTCAAAGCAGAAATAAAATATCTAGTATTTGCTTACACAAAGAAAAATTGTCTCATCTTTTCTTCTTGGAATGCATTTATGAGGAAGAAATAATTAGACCAAAATTGTAAAAATTAGGTACAAATGTTTTGAAAACCAATCGCTTTGCATCTCAAAACTGAAAGGCAACAGGTATCACCAAGTGAAAACTGTAAAAGTCAAACTGACCTAACAGTTTAAGAAAACAGAGTTTCTAAGGAAACGACAGCGTTTTTGTAAAATTCCTTATTTCTTGTAAGTTTCCTACAAATTTATGATGAGGCAAAACACTTAATATGTCAGGTCTAGATACCACAGACAGGTAATTTAAAATAACAATTTGTAAATCTAAGCCATCTTAACATATTGGTTCTATTTTTGCAAATGACCCTAAATGTTAACCAGAAATACGTTAAATTTTACCAAATAAACTTTGTTTCAAATGATTTAAATTAGAATTACAAAGAAGTGTTTCAGATCGACATTTTATGTGATATTCTATTTATAATGTCATCTGACTATACTTTTAAATTCATCAACACTTCGGTTTGCCTATTGCACAGATGCTAAAGCTGGCAAAAAAATAATCACTCAAAAAACCTCCAACATAAGAAAATATGTCTTAAAATATTTTTCTGTCACATCGTCTCATAAAAAAAAACCCAGCATGACAAATATACCTTCCCTCTTATTAACTCTTAGATATATGTCATACAAGGATTGAGGATTTTATTAAAATAAACAACATAATATGCTAAACAACTTAAAAACAAAAGCTTTTACATTTACCAAAATACTTCAATTTCCTCTATTAACTGTAACCAAAATATATGCTTCAATAAGCAATAAGTATTAAGGTAAACTATTTTGATAGAAAACTGGTAAATAATTTCTCAAAAGCTAGGAACAAACATATTAGTGATCTTTAGTTCATTTCCCTACAAATACAAAATTTTTGTTAAAAGAGGATAAAGGAGAATAAAATGCAGAAGATGGAGGCATTCATTGCCTTAAACAATTAGGAAAAGCAGTTCTGATATATGAAAAATAATGTGGGTAAATCTGGGTAAAAATTATCTGGCTCCCTAGATTTATCTAAATATTCATTTTCTGAAATGAAAAATTTCCTTTTAAAAATTATACCCTCAAAATTTGTACACCAAAATTATTATACATACTTTCAAATATTATATATATGCTTTGTGAATTTTCTAACCAGATGTAATAACTGTACTTAGCAAAGTAATAATTTAACAAAATATGCTTTTGTATGTTAACAAAAAAATAAAAATTGGCATATAAATATAACATGTACTCACATTCTATGATCAAGACTAGCACAGAAACTTTGATTATCTTCACTTAAGACAGAATATCTTCACTCCACTTAAAGTTACAAATAAAATGGAAAACTACATTTTTGCATAATTAGATGCTCCTGTAAACTTTTTTCTTATACTATATATTTAAATGCTACTAAAATAATGTGTGACAAGCTATTTGAGCCCTGTTCTTTTTTACTGACTATGCCTTAAAGATAACAGCAGATTAAATTTTTGTTGCTTTTGTGTTTGTTCTATAGATAGCATTCCCGCCCCCCGCCCCCCCCGCCCCCCCCCCCCGCCATTTTTCCAGTGTCTTGGAATTCTAAGGTGTCCTAAAAGCAATGTAAGAGTTATAAGAGTAGATAACTAAATTATTTTAGAACCATTCTAAATTAGATACACTAAAATACTATTCAATTCAATCAACATTAGACGCATCCACTGTACATCAGCATTCAGCGAGCAAATGCGAGCATAAATTATTTCATGAATAATTAAAATGAAAGCATCTAATATTATATGAAAGAGGTACATTTTACCTGGATTAGATGAGGCAATGCTTTTAGTGTAAGGCAAAACCAAATCCCCAGCTTGCATGGAAGCAAATCATGCCATTGTGGTTTCATCAGTAATCTAAAGGGAAAACAAAAGCAAAGAAGCAAAATATAAACAGAAAGTTGGGAGACAAAATATTTTTATAAAGATCATAATTTCTGTTTTGAATGACTTTCAACAAAAAATAAATTTTCAATGAAATATTTATGTTGGTTATCATTTATTCTGACTTATTCTATCATGAAATACAGTAGTTATAATAAATGCAGTATGTATAGCAACTAAGAGAAAGCTAAGATTTTGGAAAAGGAGACTCCTAATCAAGTTATAAAGATAAAGAAACAAAAGATCTCTTTCCAACCTAGACTTTCATCAGTTCTGCAAAATGAATTCTCAAACCTTATGATTACTTCAGCTATAAAAGACTAAACATCATCAGAGTGTTCCCCAGTGCTGACAAGCAGATATGAAGACTGTAGCATAAACAAACCAATAGATAAAAATTAATGTCATTTGCAGTTCACTGAAGCATTACTCACTGATGTCATCAGAACAGAAGACATGCAGAATAGTCTCTGATCTCCATCTCACATTGATCCAGTTCTGTCCTGCTGTGTGAACTATTTAAACCCTTTATTTCTTTCTATGAATCGATAGAAGAAATGGTAATATCTTTCAGAGTGTACTGCATATCACTGCCTTTATCATATTGCCACTCCTGAACTAAACACTAAATGGTAGATTCGTCTAGTAATACTGTTTCTAAAGTTCAGTCTACAAATTTTAAACTACAAGAACTTGAGGGTTTAATTACTTAAATATATATTAACACATCACAAGGGAAAAAACTTGTAGCACTTCTGCTTAAGATCAGAATTTGTCTCATAAACTAATATGGCACATTATTAGTCTTTTAAAAAACCTACTACAGATGTAAATGTTAGCATATCTGAAATGAATATACATTTGAAACTGGATCACATTAAAGAAATATTTTAAAAGTTTCAAATTATAAAATATTTTTATATGGTCCTACCTTTCATTTTTTTCTGAAGCACCAAGTTTCGATAAATCCACACTCTTGCCACCTGTCTTTTTTTTCTTTTCTCTTTTTTTTCTACTAAGCAGTTCATCCTTAATGTGGAAAGAATTATAGTTACAGGTTATCATTCACATGTACTCTTCAAATGTTACCAAGAGTCTACTATGAAGGGTAAACATTATAAGGGAACATTTATGCAAATGTATGTAGGGTCCAACATGATTAAGTAAAATCATCAATCTTTAACAATAACTGTTGTCATAGTATCCAGTCCTTAAACACACATGAAGTTTAGCACTGTCAGTCATGTCTATCTCCATAGCAATCAAAGTTTTCTAAGCAGAGAAAGCATCCAACTTTTTCTTGTTCATCAACTTTAGTAATGTTACTTCAAAAAGAATGAGTAAACAGATGCTAATTCTGATAAATGTTTATTTTCAGCATATAGACATCCACAGCAGAATAAACTATGTAGTAGAATTTATTAGACTAAGAAAAATGTAATAACCTTTTAACCAACTGATCTATGAAATCATGAAATTATACTAATTTCAAGTCTTAGTTAAAAACTTTTAAAGTAAACATTGTTTATATGAGAGCCTGTGACACAAAAATTTCTAAAATCATTTTTACATGAAAAATATTTCTATCTGGAAGGTGATCATTAAGAAAACATGGCTCTAGTTTCTACCTTCTAATTTTCAGTTAGATATTGGGATCTTCACAAAATTTTATAACAAACTCAAAGTCACATTTTTAAAAAGAAGGATATTTTCTTCTTATAACCTGGGCTCTTCTTGACTTAGAAACATATCAAACACTAACTACTGAGCACAAAACTATTAAAATCAGAAGTATTTATAAAAACATTGAACTTTTCATCAGTTGAAAAATAAATGTTTGAAATTCCATATAAAATTAAGGAGGCTAGGATCTTTTGATTTATTACCAATACTTACCAGTTGTTTTTCCAGGTAGATTGACCACACCACAGCATAATGACCCACTGTGAGGATAATGAACAAAAGTAATGCCAGCTCAGCATTGCTCATTTTTCTCACCCGCCTGTAGTAGAATACAGGCTGTCGCCAATCTGGAAGTCCATTGATCAGAATATCATCATACCTACAGTAGCAAATATAACAGTTTTTTAAGGAAAGTTTGAAATAAAAAAACTTTATTTGTATCCATATTTAAAAAGAGAAAAAAGAAAATAATTTCTTCAAAATAGATAACATTTATGTAAATTACCAGCATTACAACAGCCTATAAATTGAAAACACTGTATGTAGGTCCAGTCACAGACAACCTTCAAAAGGGTACATAGTAATATACTGTGGATACCAGATCTTGTATTTTTACGAGACCCCAATGATGCGACTTCTGGAATGCCATCTAAACTAAAGGTGCCATATAGTCTATCTCTATCACAGTCTGATATAAAGTACCCACCATGAAGTCAACAACAAAAGGAAGGATCTCAACGGGAGTGGGGGGGGGGGAGGGGGGGCGAGAAATCAAGATAAGAGCTCTATTTGTTACCATGAATTATACATTAATTGAATCAAATTCAGGGTAAATTTTCTAGTCAATGCTTTTCCCCCCCACCTCTGTACTATGGTTCAAGGTTGAAATATATATATTATTTTATCAAAACTTCTTAATAATGTAAAAGCCTATAAAATGAGCCTCTTTTAATTTTGTTATTACTCACATTATGTTAGAGAGTTTAAAAAATGCCAAATTAGAGATGTGTAAACAACCTATGCTTATGTCAGATTTCTAAATAAAACTGTTTATTTGCAAACATTTAAGTGGCAATTTTCTCACTTTTGGCTTTGCTGGAAGGGGAGATCATAAATAAAAGCTTTCCTAAAAATGCATTTAAATCAGCTTTCTTTAGAATAAAACTTCAGTTAAATTTAAATATACCTGTCAGACAGTTATTGCGGCAAATGTTTTTAAGGTTAAAAATCAGGAGTAGCACTTAGGATTGTAAAACTCAAAATGGTCACAAACACTGTTCGTTCAAACACACAACCTGTTAATCTTAGTGGAACACAACTCATTAAATATTCTAATCACACTATTTCCAGAATTAAATCTTCACTGAAAGGCCTAATTTGGTGCAACACATTGACCAAAATATTTTAATTAAAAATATTCTGAGTTAGTCGCAGGCCTAATTACAGGAATAGAAATAGGGCCTATATTGTCAGGCAGGTCAGTAGCACTCAGTAGTAGGTTTTTCTCAAGTAAATTGACCGATCTAAGAATAATAGCGCAGCTGCTAAACTGCCAGTCTTGACATGTAAATCAATTTAAATGCAACAACTGCAGTAGCTACTTTTATAGTTATTAAATTGATACCTTGGAAATATGCTTAAAAAATAAAGCAGAGGACTTATTACAGGCAACTTTTTTTCTGCAGAAAAATAGTGATTATAAATTCAAAATATATTTTATTAGCAAATCTAGAAAACCTGATTTAGATCAACTTAAATTATTAGTAACAATAGACATCATAATAACTAATGTTTAGAGCAAAGGAAATTAATTAGTACTAAACTCTTAAAAGACAAATTGTGTACAAGAGTCTACAAATTAAAATGTTGTGTAGTGGCTGGACCAAAAATTTCAATATTTAAATATTCTCCTTTTTCAATATTATAGCAATTCTTGAACACGAATAGAAAAACATAATAATATGAGTTCATCAAAAGCTATCATTCCTTTCTTCAAAAATTTATATTTAAATCTATCTTTGTAAAAATGGACTCATTTTAAATTACAAATGGATTGGTAAAAAGGTTTCAAATGCTATAATGCAAGATGACAACAACTGAATGAAATCCAATGAATGTTAAGTCTTGAATTTATTCTAAATCTATAATGCACTTCAGATTTGTTGAGGGGAACAAAAGGTGACTATAAAAATCATTATTTTCAACTAACCTCTCCCATGAAATAACTTCATGTAAAAAGTGTGGTTATTAATAAAGAACACCTAAGAAAGTAGCAACCATTACCTAAGAGCATTACTAAGTATTAAATTTGATCTGTACTGAAAGAAAACACAGCAGGACTCACAGTTATGAATTTTATATCAAATATTTTATCACTACCATTGATGAAATACTACGTCTCTCTTAACAGCGACTATTTTCTATCCCACATATAAACTGTACTCAGTGTACAGCCCAATTTAAGACAGCAAAACCTCATGCACTGAACACATTTAACAGAACTGGGTATTTACTAGGCTATTTCTGCCACTCTAAACAGTCTCCAAGTATTAAGCTTAGAATCAATGCTCTATTGATTTTATTATCAATGAACATTATGGATCACACGCCTGGCCATTTTAAGGGAAGGTAGTTTCCATTATAGTCTGTTTTTTAGAATATATGCTGTTAAAAGATAAATCACTGCTTTTCTGAAATACTGAAAACAAAGATATTTTTTAAAATATACAAACACTATATTCATATGTTATTTAAGAAAAAAATGTGTTGACAACACATAACATTTAAAATATCACTATGGTATGCTTTTCTTTATTTAACACATAACACTTAAAATGTTCTATAACCCAGCTCATACAAATTGCTCTTAAGATTTTGTTAAAAGCAGATTAAGAATGTATACATGCATCAATGTGTTCTAAAAAAACCAGAAAAGTAAATCTCTATGATGAAAATATAATTAATGCAAAAAACCATATGGAACTATAAAGGCATTATCTTGGAAATTAAAACATTAATTGATCAATTCCATGCATCCAACATATGGTCTAATATACATTTACTTTGTTTGATGTTCTTGAAATGTACATGATAGACATAAAATAATGGTTACATAATCATTAGTGAGTCCCATTCTACATTCTGCAATTCTTCACATATATTTAGCCTAATATAAACATTGGAAAGCAAGTAAATCTAAAAATATTTAAATTATCAGGAGATAAAAAATTAATGTAAATTTAAAACAGCTTATTTTGAAATATAAAACAGTAACTATGAAACTAAAATAGAAAATGTGTATATTATGAAAACAAATATGTAAATAATTCTATCATTTGCCTAAAGTATGAATTTTCTATCAAACTAAATTTTTAGCTTCAAATAATAAAGTAATATCACTTACATCACATTTTGAACCTTAGAGTAAAAATCAATTGTACAAAGATCACAAACAGGAAACAAATCTAATTTAATTCACCTTACTCTCCTTTATTAAAAAAAAAAAAAAAAAATATATATATATATATATATATATACACACACACACACACACACACACACACATATATATATATATATATATATATATATATATCCAAAACCATGGTACACAGCACTTTATATATATTGTATATAATAAATGTCTTATATCTTCTAATTGAGGAAAATATTAAAATTTCTTAACCTCAGGTTAATGTTTTTTATTATTATAAATTAAAAAATTATTTTTATTGATATCAGAGAGGAAGGTAGAGGGAAAGAGAGATAGGAACATCAATGATGAGAGAGAATCATTGATCAGCTGCCTCCTACACACCCCACACTGGGAATGGAGCCCGCAACCTGGGTATGTGCCCAGATTGGGAATAAAACCGTGACCTCCTGGTTCATTGGTCGAAGCTTATCCACTAAGCCACGCCAACCGGCAGTTTAATGTTTATTTTTATTCAAACACACCTGTAATCAAATTTACAATAACTAGGTAATGGATTTGTAGAAGTTTAGCAGATTAAGGTTGAGATAACTATAGTTTTCATCATTGGATTTGTAAATAAAATATGATTTTATTTAGTAAACTAAAAAACAACACTCAACTTTTACCAATATAGTACCATAAAATAGACAAAAATATTAAAGTTGTACAACTGGGTTAGCAAAAGAATATCGGTTAAAAATTTAAAATAGACTTTAAGCAAAAGTAAATATGCTAATATTACCACAGCACATTCTAGTGTATATGTTTAATAAATGATTGGCATCTACTCAGTACTTTATTTCAGCTAATACTCAGGGCTTGTATAGAAATTTATGAACAAACAAAGCTGAGCTGTAATTTCCCCAAATAAGCAAATTACCTAAGGAGTTTAAAAAGGGCTACTATGTTAGGCTTCCTTACACTAACCAGGAACACATGTTATTTTCACACTATAGCTGATGCCTTTGAGAGAAAAAAAGTCTTATAAGTTTATTCACAATTGCATTCCTAGGTATCTACCCAAGAGAAATGAAAAACATCCGTTCACACAAAGACTTATATGTGAATATTCATGGCAGCATTGTGCATCATAGCCAAAAAGTGGAAACAAACTAAATGTCTACCAGTTGGTGAATGGATAAAGAGAAGTGGTAGATGGAATACTATTCAGCAGTAAAAAAGAAATGAACTACTGGTATATGCTACAATATGGATGTATCTCAAGAACATTATGCTAACAGAAAGAAGCTGGGTGTAAAAGACTACATAGTACACGATTTTGTTAATATGAAATGTCCAGAAAAGATAAATTTATAGATACAAAAAGATCAGTGATTGCCTAGGGTAGGGGTCAGAGTGGGAATTGCTTGCAAATGAACTAGAGGAAGTGTTTTGAGGTAATAGAAATGTTCTAAAACTGGATTGTGGTGGTTTGCACAACTCTGTAAATTCACAAAAATCACTGAATTGTATACTTCATATAAGTGACTTTTATAGTACACAAGTTATATCGAAATAAAGGCTGTTTAAAAATAAAATAAAGTTTGTTTTTTCCTTAAAAAAGTAAAAAGGTTATCCAGTTTGCTACTTTATTTATTTCACTGCCATCCCCTTTTCTACCAAAATTTAAATAATGCACCTGATTTCAGTGACACACAATTATGTAAGGAAAATAAATAGGAAAACATGTCTATGACAATTTTCCAAATCGCAAATTCCTGTAAGTTACATATTTAAAAGCATGTATTTAATGAATATTTTTATAATAAATAATTGGGATACCAAAAAAAATTTTTTTTTTACCAGTGTAAGACAATCTTCTTATTAGAAGATAAAACTTATTTTTTTTCTTCCCCCTAAAGGAATTATAAACATTAGGTAATTGTAGAGGTGATTTCTTCTATATGTTTAAATACTCATAGGTCACCTGGCCTGAGGCACAAGCTTTAGAGGAGTGATTCTTAGCTTGATTAGTTAAGACTTTTGCCTCAGGGAAAACCAGTTACCAAAGAGCTACTTGTCCCTAAAGGGGTATAAATAGTACAGTTGTGTGTATAACTGTCAGATCCATTGTTTCCATTCACACTCTAAAAGAAATGCAAAGGAAACTAATCCTAAAAAGAAAATGTTAGATGAGTCTATAAATAAGAAGTGATTTGTTCTGAAAAGAGAGAAATAATTTCAGCAATTGAAAGAAATTGTTACAAAGTTTACTAACTTTTAAGAAAACAACAAACAAAAAGCCAAAATCTGATGCCAAAGATGTAGGGAGACTAAATAAAGCTATCTTTACAGACACATTCTTCATGTGTAAAACAAAACTTGGGGCTCACTGAGAGAAACCAACTAGAAAATATGCGCAGAATGACCAACACTTCTTTCAACATACTTCTAGGACTCTTTCAACACTATGGATTATCTCAAACCAGAGGAATGCTGGCTATGGTGTCTGGACCAATGCCAGCCCTTGTTATAAAGCAAAGAGCACTTCAAGAGAATATCTTGAATCCTTGCTTTGCAATCTGACAAAGTGAGGTATTCAAATTAAAGAGTTAGGATGAGGACCAAGAGTGATAGCTAACATTTTAGGATATAGAATAATTCCAGACAATATATTTGAAGAAAGATTCAGAATGCCACAAAGCATCATTCTGGGGGTTTATCTTTAAGATATATTAATACCCATATTAGCTGGCCTTAGCCTAAAATCTAAAATACCTACTTTTTTCTTTAAAGGTACTCTTTTAGTGTAGAACAGCATTTTCTAACTGCAGATTGTGGCCCACTAGTGACTCATGAAATCAATTTAGTGGATGACAACCAGCATTGTTTTAAAAAGAAAAATGACTAGTCTAGCCTAACCTAAAATAGAAAATATCAGTCTGCTTTACACATACAAAAAGTGTTTTGTGAAATTTTTGTTTCACTGTGTCTGTCTGTCTGACCTGAGGCATGATGCAAATGTATTTCTTACTGTGGGTTTGACTGAAAACACGTTGAAGCCCATTGCAATACTGTCTACATTCCACACATTCTGAAGTAGAGAAGAGGAGCCTCTCTGCAGTCTCTCTTAAATCACTGGCACTACGAACTGCTGTACAAACATATTACTACTCTCCGAAGGGGGCACAGAGACGTCTCCAAGTGAGGGGTTGCCTCCACTAACTAACCCTAAATGCAGAATCACTGGAGCAGAGGAAGGGAAGGGAAGGGGACAAAAGAAATGAGAAAGAAGCAAATATTTTTCTTTCATTCCTATCTTCTACATACTCATATAAGTTTGTTCTCTCACCCAAAAATTGGGTTTATTATTTTGTGAGTGAGGAAACATCGAGATGGTAATAACTTGAATATCACTTAACAGTCAAATTCCAAAACATTTAAGGAATAGGAAAGAACCAAAAGGACCACCAGGCACAGATGAGAGCTATTACTGACATATAAAAAATGAGTGGACATTTGTCTGAAGTCAAGTGGTATTTGTATTTCCCAGGGCCTAGACACTTGTTAAACATCTTACCTAATGAAGCCACAACTTGCTAATATTCGGACTCATGATCCTGAAGAATACAAGTATTGAATCAACCTAGCGAAAATTTTCATATTAAGTAACTCTAAATATCCATTTTAAAAACATTGCATACTTTGGAAAAATAAAATACTAACTTATAATAAATAAACTGCTTAATGAGACAATTTTTCCCTGTATAAACTGAGACATCATAATTCAAAAACAGAAATGAATACTCACCTCTGCCTTCGTTCATCATCCTTTAAAACTTCATAAATGGCCACCAACTAAAATAGAAGCATTACTTTAAAATAAAAATACTCTCAACTATAAGAAATCACTTAAGAAGGTGAATACGCCATAATGCACATGCAGAAAACCCTATGTGCTCATAAGTAAAATGAACAGGTAAGACCTTAATTATAGGTAACATTTTTTGTTTTTAGTAGAACCTTCAAAGGTTAACAATGCTTGATACCAAAATAAATCTTTGTGAAAGGTGCAAAAGTAATAATTATCTTAACATGTGCTTTTTAAAAGCAAAAGCTGTAATTTAGACAAGAAAATTATGACACTCCAAGAATTCAGAGATTCTAAAATAAAAAATGCTGGTGAAAACATATTTTATAAAAATTGAGTAAACATACATACATTATATTTCTAAACAACATCCTCATTTTCAAATGGAATTATTCTACATATAAGTTACTATTCCTACCATAAACCTTAATAAATTTGTCACAAAACATAATAGCATATTTCACTTACTTGTCTAAACTGAGTTTCTGCATTTTCATCTTTATTCTTGTCTGGATGCAAAGTTAATGAAAGCTTACGATATGCTTTTCTAATGTCTGCAGATGAAGCATCCTGGAGGTGGTGGGGGGAGGTGAAAAACACACAAAGCAAACTTTGTCAGAAAAAGAAATTCCCAGAACCTTGTTAAGATCTGAGAAGACAGCCAACCAAGTGCAGGACCCCAGGCAATGTAATCTGAGCAATCAGTCAGGCTATGCAACTGGCCTGTCCCACATGACTGAACAATTATTCAATCTAATTTGGCTCTCATCTTAACTTTTCATTACCATACAGTCACTTAAAGAAGACAGTATTTGGCAAAACTTTTCAAACACTTGCCTTCCTAAAATTAACCAATAAATCTTTTTCAGTAATTAAGAGATCAAAAAGAAACAAATTAAAAATTAATACATCTGTGTGCCTTCAAAGGTCTTTATTTGAGAATCTTAAAGCCAGTTTCTGAATTGAAGGTCTACTATCTGTGGTTTCTTCATTGTTATTTATATTGAATTTGCCATCAAAAAACAACCTATGGAATCTCCATTCATGTCAGAAGTATGCCTATTTGAGGGCAGTTAAATATGCATTTATCCAAAATAATTATAATTAAAAGTGTTATGTATATTGCACTTAACACTTTTGTTTTTAGTACTTTAAGGGGTGTTTTTAATGGTATCCAGTTTCTAGAATCTGGTTTGCAGAAATAAATTTGCCTACTATTTATGTATTACTAATATAGTTTAAATATATTTGAAAGGTCATGATAGTTCAGTAAGAGTACTTTGGATTAAGTGGATGTTAAAATTACATTTTATGTAATCTTGTGTGCACAGGTAAGCTCAGAGAACATCACATGGCAATTACAAAATACAATAACAAACAATAATAAAGTAAAATAACAAAGAACACTGTCAAGTTGGGATTAAAATTTTATTTCCACTAAGTTTAAAAGTTATCCCAATGACTAACATGTTCAGAGTGGGACAAATGATAATAAAGTTGCTTATTAAATTTTATCTCATTTTATAGCTGAATATTTGTCCAATTAATTCCTAAAACTACTAAAAAAGTTCAAATGACTGAAAAACTAAACCAAAACAAGAATCTGTATACCTAGGACTAAATAGCTGTTAAAAGAGAGTTGAAAAGAGGCAAAGAAAGACAATAATTAGTCTGTTAAGCTTTTCTTTATAAACCATTGCCAATATTCTGGAATTTATTGCTACGGACTATCAATCGACTTAAAATTTCAACTGAAGTGTGAATATTTCTGTAACTTGTAGAGGGCTGAGGAGCTATAAAATTAGCACCAAGTAAGTTTTGTGGATAGTATGGTTATAATTTTCACTCTAATTTGTTAAATGGAATTTATGTATTCCCTATACCTAAATAATAGGTGACACAGTGTAGAAAAGGATGATTATTTATTGAAAATTGGTGATAGAATTTTGTTGAGCAAAGAGGTTGTGTCAAATAAATAATAATTTGGGACTTTAATTTTAGATTGTATTAAATTGTGACTACATCACACTGAGAAATTCCTAAAGTGTAGATTTCTTATAAAGTAAGACTTTTTATATATTTTCTTGTGCTACAAAATTAGTACATGCTTATTTTGGAGCATCTATGAGTTATTTAAAAATAAAAATGACTAATAGTCACTTACGGCAGTTCCCTTCTCCCAGTCTTGGCATGCTGAACCCAATCCTCCAACCTTTTCTTCCCACAATATGTACCCTAAATGTAAATGTGACCAGATGGCTCTATTCTAAGCCCTTCAATAACTCCCAAGTGCCTTCATCATTGTCTTTTCCAATAATTTAGCTTTATCTCCCACTACCTTGGCCCATCCTCCTAGTCACCCAGATCATTACATTAGGTGACCGTTCTTCTAATGTGTAATGATGTGTGGTTTTGCACCCAGCTGTAGATACAGTTTTCTCCTGACTAAGGAACGAGCCTTTCAGCTACACACCAATATTGCCTGCCTATTTTCCTCTTAAAAATTTGCCTTGTAGGGTTATTTCACCCATAAGCTCCACTTCTCAGTAGACAGAACTAAAAACCTCAGAGTTTTTCTTACAAAGACATGCTCTAAACAAGCAGTACCTCAAACTAGCTTATGTATTTAATTTTAGTTAATTACTTAGTGACTATTAACTTATTTTATCTTTTTAACAAAGCTATGACATTAGGATAGTTGTTACCAGGCCCATTTTACTGGTGAGGTGAGGCAGAGAGAGGTTAAAGTAATTTGCTTAAGTTCACACTGCTGGTAAATAGACAAAAATAGAATTAAACCCCAGAAAATGTTGCATCATATTCAGAGCTCTGTTGGCTCTTTGGGTTCAGTTAGTAGATCTGGGCTGTGTCACTTCACAAGGGGCGACAACTTTGGGAAGGCAATGAGAACAACATTTTTTTTAAAAAAAATACAGTAAATACATAAACCAGTAACATAGTCATTTATTATCATTATCAAGTACTCCCTATGGTACACAATTATATGTGCTCTACTTTTATACCACCAGCAGAGCAGTAGGCTTGTTTACACCAGCATCACCACAAATATGTGAGTAATGCATTGTGCTATGATGTTAGGACAACTATGACAACACTAGACGATAGGAATTTTTCAGCTCCATTATAATCTTATGGGATTGCTGTTATATATGCAGTTCATCATGGACCAAAATGTCATTATATGGTACATAACTATATACACAGTATACTTGACATATCAAGTTCATGAGTTTTTCTGATACTGTGTTTCCCATTAATTCATCTATTTTTAAGTAGTAGTCAACAAGTAATTCTGGAGTTCACAAATATTAGAAACAAATACTGTAGAGATTTTTTTTTAATAAAAAAAGGTATTCATTAGGTAAGAGAACAACATTCTTATTGATCTGATAAACTATATGGAAAACATGCACATAACTACATTGTGAATACAGTCAATTGCATTTTTAAGGGTAAAGACCCTAATATGTTAGGTTTTCTAATACATTTTATATCATATTTCTACTAGAGAACTGAATGCTAGAACATACATCTCCTATACAGATCTTTTATCTCTCTGGCCTGCAGAGAAATAATTTTGAAAGGGTTATGGGTGGATTAGCCATCTTTGACACAGTAGACATCAGGAGATCTACTGGGTTCAATTACCAGAATTCCTTTCCTTCTAAATTGGATAAGGTTTTTTGGAAAGTTGGACATGAATTATGTTAATACTTGGATGACCTCTGTAAAGAAAAGACAAATAGTCATTCTTAAAAAAACAAACACAAAAAACAAAAAACAAAACACCACAAAAAACAAACAATAAAACAACTGTGAAAGGAATATGTTTGTCAAAATTGTAACAATGCAATGGGACAACAGCTAAAATGGAAGGGTAGGAAACTCCAAGGGTCTGTCCCTGCACAGAAACAACAAATAATCTGGCAAAAACTGTCCAAATTAATCTTATCTGCACTCTGAAAATCAGTCAAAAGGTTTACAGCAATCAAGCAAGCACTTGATCAAGAAAAAGGCAGTTGATTATCAGGTAAGGTCTTGAAGATGCCAATCTAGATTCTTGGTGTGGGTTCCCAGTGCTGGAGGAATCAAAGCAGACTTTGTTCTCAAAATTTGTGTTCGTTTGTTTGGCCTGTCACTGACTCCCTGACAAATTGTGTAAAAGGCTACCCATATTTTATCAAATATAGAACTCTTCCAGGGCAAAGAGGCAACCATCCAGGACATTTGTCAAAAACATTTAAGGGCAAATTTGTTAGCTGGTGCCAATCAGGGCAAGGGATAGCAATTGGGATATACCACAGGCACATCAAAAAGCTTAAGAAAAAAAATTAGGGAGTAAGATGCTTTGGAAATATAGGCTTTTGAAAAGCTCCCACATAGTCCTTAAAAACCATAAGACCATGTGCATACCCAAGGTGGAGTACATACTCAGAAAGGGTATTTAGGGTCTTCTGAAAAAACTCTAAATTCCCACTACTGGCTGATAGGCTGTGCTCAAGCAGAAAATGAAGGCTAACGGAGAGTTGTAAACTGCCTAGCTAAGGGTTAAATGCATGCCACAATATATAGGAACCCACTAGCAAAGACTGTGGATGAGTCTTTTCCAAACCTTTAAGGAAATCTCTGCTGAATCATTAGCTGGCCACTAAGCTAATGAAATGGAGACATCAGTGGCCACACATGGCAAAGAATATTTACTTGACAAATTTAGTTTAGAAAAGCCACTAAACAAACACTGTCAACTAAAGAAAGAAACAAACAAAAAAAACCTGGTGTGGTGGAAGAATCTAATTACCACATTATATATTCAAAATGTCCAGTATTTATTAAAAATTATAAAGCATGCATAGGAACAAGAAAGTCTGGTTCACACATGGGGAAAAAGAAATTAATAGAAACTGCCCCTGAGGAAGTTCAGACATTGGACTTACTAGACAAAGATTATAAATCAACTATTTTAATATGCTCAAGAGCAAGTACAAAGAGCTAAAGGAAGTATGAAAATAACCTTTCACCAAATCTATATATATAAAAAGCCAGCAAGAGGAACACTGGAATGACCAGTTGCTATGACACCCACAGTGGCCAGTGAACCGGCCTGATCGGGGGGTGGGGCCGGCTGGCCAACCTCCCGTGGCCCCTCCCCCTGGCTGGCCCTGCCCCTGATTGGCCTCTCCCACCCCGATAGAGGGCAGGGCGGCCTTTTCTCCAGGCCAGCCCTGTCCCTGATCGTCCCCCACCTCAATAGGGGCGGAGCCAGCAGCCAACTTCCTGAAGCCCCTCCCCCTGGCCAGCCCGCCCGATGGGCCCCCACCACCCCAGTCAGCCTGCAGCCCCCCCTCCCCCGGCAGGTCCCGCCCATGATCACCCCCCA